TTGATACTAGATAAAAATTACAACTAATAACTATTTTTTACAGTCGAAATAATTTACAAAAAGTTAACACAAATAAAAAATATATAAATGCTAACAAACTACGTGAACTTTCTTTGGCTATAAATAAATTCATCTAAATTTGTAAAGGTTAGGTCCATGTTGACGTCACGCGCCTATGCCCTCGAACCCATCACAATGACATTGATTAACGATTAACAGGTATCTTTCATACTCCAGACACGCACGCCCTCTCGTGGGCGTCAATCACACCTATCACTAATTATTGGGACACAGCAATTATGTTTATTTGTTATTACTATACTGTTTACTTACAATTATTAAGTAAGATCCGTAAAAAACAAACACAAATGTGCAAATTCTAATATTAGAAAACTACCTAAAAACACAAAAGTGGGATTATGACAATACATAATTATTTTGAATAAATATCTTTTGTTTAAAATACTTTTTAACTCAAAATATTTCCTATTAAATAGAAAACTAATTTAGGAAACCGAGCGCTTGCATATCATAGAATACTTTACAGTTTAAATTAATGCTAATAATGATATGTTGGTATAATTACTGAAGACATTTTTGTAATTACTGCAAGGAATTAGAAGAGAATTTAGGAATTCCTAATCAGTAAATCCACTTTATCCTTTTTACAACTCCTTGCATCAGTTATCATAACTCATTTAGTCATTTCTGATGAAAATATTGTAAAATATTAATAGTTAAAAATAGAAAGATGTCAGGTAGAAAATATATGTGAAAATATTCACGAACTCAATAAAGTTTCCAAAACAATCGCTCTGCAAAGATTTTAACGCTTTCTAATAAACCAAATATCATTTGCAAAGTTAACTCAAATGAAAATAATTCGATTAAAAAATATTTAAATTTAGATATTCGTTCAAAATAATCTCAAAGCCCCATCTTTGTCGATTCTTAAAAATTTATCGTCAGGATAAACTGCATTTCTTCTGACGTAGACCTACTTTTGTCAAAATTCGAGTTAAACTTAAAAAAGATAACGTTATAATCACAATCTTCAATTTCTTTTTATATTAAAGACTCAGAATAGAAATTTACTAAAAACTAACAAACATACAATAAAACTAATAACATAACGGTTTTATATTACAGATATCTAAGGGATGGGTCTTCTTATCTCTTCTGTAGAAAATCCTTTTCCCAAAAATAAATGCGATAAAAAGTTCAAGGCCAAGTCCAGGATTTGAGTCTTAACTTTTAAATTATAACTATTTTTGTTTTAAACATAAAGCTAATGCATTTATGCTTTTTTAATTTAACAAAAAATAAAAGTAGTGATAACTTTAAAGACTATGATATAATATGTGGTAAACTATTATATTAATACTCATGTATTCGCCTTTAAGCTTCGTAAATATGATAACTGCCATATAAAAAAAAGAGATTAGTTTGAACTCTAAAATTTAATTGTATAAAATTTATATTATTTAGACATGTGTACATATATGTAGAAAACTATTCACCCTCCGTTAGTGACGTAGTTGACAAGGATCAACCATGACTATATTTACGCTCATTATACTCAACTGGCACGGTTGGCTCTTGTCACCGCGTATGTACCTTCATATTAAGGTTGAATAAGTACGCTCATCAGAAACTCAAGAAATTCATCGCTTCAGTTGTTTGAGATCAACCGAGAGTTACTTGTTGTTGCTGGGTAAATCATATTGGTTGACGCTCATCACCCGTACACCTAACTACATTACTATTTGATATCAGGAACCATTATTAAACGATATTTTTATTTTTGTATCACAATGTTCCAAAAAAAAAATCGGTAAATGTCAAAAAAAGAGCGTAGCAAGGATCCAAATAAGTGGATAGAATAGCGTAATCTTCTCAGTATTGATGAAAGTGATAATGAATTACTAGATGACAATAGCAACCACGACGAAGATCATATTAAAGAAAATGTTCTTCTTCTTGTAGTGCGTATCCGTTTCGGATGTTGGCGACCATCATGGCAATCTGCACTTTGCACACTGCTGTTCTAAAAAGATTTGTGGTTGTTGTGTTGAACCACGTTCGTAGATTTTTCAGCCAGGAAATCCTTCGCCTTCCTGGTCCCCGTTTTCCTTCTACTTTTCCCTGCAAGATTAGTTGCAGCAGCCCATATCTTTCGCTGTTCCTTATGATGTGATCGAGGTATTCGATTTTGGCTGTTTTTATTGTGGTTAATAGCTATTTTTCTTTTTTCACTCTCAACAGAACACCCTCATTAGTAACGTGGTCGGTATACGATATCTTCAGGATGCGACGATAAAGCCACATTTCAAAAGTCTCAATTTTCTTGCAGGTGGCGTCTGTGAGAGTCCATGACTCAACTCCGTACAACAGTATAGGAAACAATGAACATCGTAGTAACCTGATTTTTATGGGCATTGATAAATCATGACATTTGACATGACATTGACGTTCGTACCAAGGTAGGTGTTTTTACTCTTTCTATTTGTTGACCATTTACACTGATTTGTCCAAATTGCTGTTCCTTCTTAGAGATCATCACGCATTTTGTTTTCTTAGTGTTTAGTGAAAGTCCGTATCTCTGACTGACCTCTGTGATTCTGTTCATTAACTCCTGTAGGGTTTCAGAACTGTCAGCGAACGCTACCGTGTCGTCCGCGTATCTAATGTTATTGATAGACTCTCCGTTGATTCGAATTCCGGCTTCAACATCACCCACTGCTTCTTGAAAGATTTCCTCAAACAACAGTGGTGATAGTATACATCCCTGACGGACGCCACGTTTGATTTTGATATCGTCGAATTCTCCTGTCTCTGTACGGATAGATGATGTTTGATTCCAGTACAGATTGCTGACAATTCTTAATTCACAGGTGTTTATTTCAATATTGGTTAATATCTCCATTAGCTTGTCGTGCTTTACTGTATCGAACGCTTTATGGTAGTCAATGAAGCACGCATAAATGTCGCAGTTCGCGTCTCTACATCGTTGAAATAGCACTTGTATACTAAAGAGAGCCTCTCTCGTACCCACTGCATTCCGAAAACCAAACTGTACGGCTGATTTTTTCTTCGCACAGTCTATCCTTTGATGTACGATTTTTAGAAATAATTTTAAAATATAACTCATTAAGCTGATGGTTCGGAAATCACTGCAGGATACGGTGTTTTCTTTGGTAAAGCAATAAAGGTCGACTTCAGCCATGTTCTTGGTATTACTTCGCTTAAATATATGTCATTAAATACTTTTGTTAGGTGTTGAATACCGTCGGTGTTAAATAGTTTTATGAGCTCAGCATATGCATTGTCAGGTCCAGGAGCTTTGCCATCTTTTAGTTGTAATATGGCTTTCTGCACTTCATCTGATGTGATTGGTAAGTGGTCATCACATATGTAGGATGGAGGTTGTTCGGATCTAGTATCATCAAAGAGTTATCATCAAAGAAAATGTAAGTGAGTTAAATTCTGAACACGAAGTTGACAATTCGCAGTACGAAGATGAGAGGGAGCATGTAAATAAAACTTATTATGTTGGAAATATGTAGATAAACCAAGATGGAGAAAACATCCGCTGAAATCATTTAATATTAGATCCAGAAAATGCAATATACCTGGACCAAAAGACAAGGCTCGTGAAACACGCAATGAACTAGATATTTTTGAGCTAATTTTTTACGGTGCTATTTTTAGAATTATAACCACTTGTACGAATACCTTCATAGATAAAAAGAGAGCAACATTTTCTCGTGAAAGAGATTCAAGGCATACGGATACTATTGAAATCTGAGTGACATATGTCCCCCACGCGCACAACCACGTCATATTTAAACATGCGCTTAAGGGTAAGTAAAATGGATAAAAACGCCTACAGATAAATACGCTGATGCTTGTAGAATAAATGATAAGTTCAAACGATGTTTATTTACTGATCGTTCTCAACAAAATTTGAAAATTACTTAGACTAGAACAGAAAAATAAGAATATAAGCAACTGATATAAAACACTTTTATAGTAAGCTAATAAACGGCTTCTTTTGAAAATACAAGACTAGAAGATTTATGACAGAATAATATTTTAGCTAAAAACTGTATTGAACCTGGACTATATTTAGACAAATTGCCTAGATCAACCAAAAGCGTATTTCCAGTAGACAAAAGTACTAGTTTCCAAACATGAATGCGAACTATATTAAAACATAATTAATGTATATCGGTAAATAATCTCAGCAAAAAAATTGTATATTAAAAATGATGTACTTTATCGTTGATCACTACTTTCGTTGTTATAAAAATTAAGGAGGATTGAATTAAATAAATTGTTCGGAATTTAACAAGAATAATTGCTGTGTCTAAATGTTTTTGTACCAAAAACTATTTCCTTAACAGAAGAAAAGAAATTATGATTTTCAAAATATTAAAATCCTGATACAAAATGACACTTCAGTTTTATGTATGGAAGCTTAAGCTTAACTTGGTTTAAAGACTATTTAATTGACGACTCAGTCAAGTGATAACTTTTTTTCTGTCAAAAACGGAATGGAAAATGTTAAAAAAAAGTGCGTCTGTACAGAAATCACGTGCAAAATCAACATCAACAACTTTCAAATGTCTTTAAATTAATACAGAGTGTTGTATTAATCACCACTTTTTAATAATTTAAGTATGTATGACAGCGAACTATCAGCTGTGTCATGTATATTGCTTTTGAACTTCTAGAAATGCAAGATCTGTCTTAAAAGTTTAATTGAATTAATTACATCCTGAACGTAACCTCAAACTATAAAAAATGCAACAACATAACAAAGAAAACTAAAGGGGGGAGGTCTACCGCGCTCTGGTTAGCTGCAAACGGCAAAACTCATCGAGTCGTAGTCCAGCCAATTCGCGCCACAACAGTCCGAGATCTAAATCCATAGGATCTGGATCTGGAGGAGTAGGAGGCGTCGGTGGGTCTTTGTTTACGACTCGGGGGGCTACGTGCTATGGCCACATCATCTGTAGAGCCCGTGAAAAGTGGCGAGCGTAACAGAAACCTAGGGGTTTTACGAAATGTGTATCCAGTGTGCGGCAATGTGGACATGGCACCATATGACTGTAGTCACTGAAGAAGTTCAGTCGTTGTGTAGGATGCAAAACTGGTTTGTAGCAAGAATTACACTGAAACAGAAATAATACCAACATTAACAAAATATACAAATAAAAAAATGACCGATTAGGCATTACAGAACAAAAAATATTAAGATACTATTTATTATTTAAACTTGACAAACTTAATCTACATCATGAACTAACTTTTTATATTTTTCATAGGTGTATGAATAGAATGGCCAAATTTACCTTTATCCTCTCGGTACAACAAGGCATGGCAGCGAAGATATCATAAGAATACATGGTTCCGAGGACCAGGGATGATCCGTCCCACTTCTGATTACAGAATCTACATACAATGGCGCGTCCACTCACGCCCTCTAAACATCCCATGCAGACAACGGTCAGAAATTGGGTACGGCCTTCTACTTTCACCTGAAAATTAAAGAAATGTTTAATATAATATTTATACTATTGCATAAATATCGAACACAATACATAAATATACATATATCAAGCGAGTGAGCACATATCGTAAAGTAATTGATAATAACTTATTATTAAATTGATGTTTTTCATCAATTATTATGCATTTATTTGTAACTGGATCTAATTAAGCAACCAAAATAATTTATCTCTGATGTTACTATCTTTTGTATTTTTTAACGCATTTTTTTTAAAAGAAGTGTTTCTTTTTAATGATCTATAGTGTCCGAATTATGACTAGTTATCTCAAGTGTTAATATTAGAATTTTTTCATATAGCACGGCATTGGGATTACAGAAACTGTTATCTTTTGAGCCTATGATATACAAAGAAGCTAACAGGACCAGTGTTCGTTAAGCCATTTTTAAAAAATCGAAATTTTGTTTGTCAAAAATTGCTAAAAAATACATTTACAAACTCTCTCTGATAACGGGTAGACCCAGAAACACGTGTTAGAGAATGGTAAGAGACTCAAATTAATTCAAAACACAACCGTTTACGTACATTTACTTTTAGGAGTAGTATATAATTGGAGCGTCATATATAACATATATATTATTTATACCGCAATTAATTGAGAAAAATTTGTAAAAGAAAGAGATGGTAAAGAAGAGTTGGACGGGAAAGCGATAGAAGGCAATAGAAGATCTTATTATTAAATTAAAAAAGCAATTTAATACAAATCCTATATAGCTAGGTTTTCGGTATATTAGCGGGTATACATGGTTAAAGTATGGAAATTATTAGTAGGGACATTTAAGCTTACTTTAACTCTCTTTATCCGAATACACGGGGTTATAAATAATCCGCCGAAAATATGAAGGGCACAAACTGTGACTATAAAAGAATTTCTGTACTTAAATTTTCAGTTCTAGCTTACCTCAATGCAACTTTTAGCGTGTTGTCGTGGACTTAAGAAGAATGTCCCATCTACGAGGGGATATCTGTCGAAAACCAGCAATTGTTCTTCGCATAAGACGCATTGAACTTTGGAACGACCCTGAGACGCTAATGTGGATAGAATAAAACAACGTGTATCATCGTTGCCATGGTTTCCCTCGTCTTCGGTCTGAAACAAAAAAATACAGTGAATACATATAAAGTCTATATTAGCAACGAAATATAATTACACTTTTAAAAATGTTCTAAAATTGTTTATTGTTACTCGTCAAGTTAAATATGATCTCATAAACGTAATATTTACATTTTAGAAATATTTCTGAAAATTAACTAACAATATTAATTGTCAAATATACTTTAGGTTCTTGTAGCATTTTGAAATTCCTGTATCTAATCCTTGAAATATATCCCCTCGTATATATTTAAAACATTGAAGAATAATTTTAGTGTATTTCAATTCCTATCGTACAAGTACTCAAAAGTGTTTTCAATCCTTTTATTTGCTTGGCTAAAGTTAATGTAAACCATTTTATAGTACGTTTATATTTCACAGACGTGTATTTCCTAGGCATTTCGTTTAATCTAAGCCGCCTTGGGATTTTTGTGCATCAAAGAAATAGGAATTTTAGCGTATATGTTTTGTTTATGCTAAGTTAAGCAAATGAATTTTGAAGATAATCTCATCACTCTCGCTTAGGTCGCTGTCAGAGGCAGTTGCTTACAGCGTGGGTCCAAATTTTTTGTCAAATTTGTAATGTTTCTTCTTTTTATTCCCTTTTCATGGAAAATATTTAGTGTATAGTAGCAGTTCATTTGATAGTTACAGTTAAAGTGAGATTTTAAATGTTGCTATTGTGTGATTAAAACAAGATTAAAAGACATGGGATGTCCCGTTTTCCAGGGCATCCTAGATTAAAAATAAGTAAAGGCTTCCCAACGTTATGTCTGCGATTGCAGAGGGGTTTGGTGTAAACTTGTAGGGTAAGATAGGTACCATCTTCAAGAGGTCTACCTTCTTTGATCTTAGAAAATGAGAACACCTTACTACGCCAATCTTAGGAGGGTGGATTGATATAAAACTAATGATAATTTATATAACACTAATGATAAAACCGTATTGATGTTTTTAAACATGTTCTCATTTTTTGCGACCATAGTTATCCAGAGTGAGATTGATGTGAATTGTTTTCATTCATTCTAAAACTAGCCGTAGGCAGTTTTAGAATGAATTTGATACAATAATTGATACCCACCACAGTCACATCAGAATTATAGTTCACGCACACTGAAACTACGATCTTCTAAAATCACAAGTCTCACACGTTCGATATTTTTCGGTATTATTGTGCTGAAATGTCAATCAGTAAAGGTCATTGTCGACAAATGTACAGCCATTTTAAATGCCGTACGTTTGTCGACAATGTGTTGGAAGCTGTTATTAAGAAAAAGGCAAGATACTCTGAACAGAAGTATACTGATATAAAAGTCGTACTATTCCAAGCAAAACTATCGGGGAACCATACTGGTATGTTTTTGTAACCTGAAATTTAATTAGATATTTAATTCTTATTAGATTTATTACAATTTAGATGTAAGAAGAACTGAAGAAAGAGATTTATACAAAATTTTATAAATTGGACATCAAAAATGTTTAAGACGCTTTTCATCAGTCCCTTATTAAAATATTGACCTTGTTGCCTGAGGGCGTCCTAAACCAAACTTTGTTTAGTAGTAGTGCCTAAAGTTAATCAATCACAGAAACTCGTATCAAAAACAAGATTCAAAACCATCATTTTACACACACGAGTAAAAAATTGAAATTAAAAAACTAAAAAATTAGAGTCACATTTAGAAGGCGAAGATAGTAACAATGACTACATGTACTGCGAAGACTTTTAAGTTCCACAGAGGGACGGAAAAGCTGTTTCCGTTGCCATAAATGGGCTCACAATTCATGTGCAGGTGTAAAAGATGAGGATGATAAAGCAACACTTGTATGCGAATTTCGTCAACAGGCTTTTCTTGGTTTCACAAATTTGTTTTAAATCCCAATTTAAATTTTAAGTTAACTATTTTGCCCATCTTTTCCCTAAGTCATGTTATTAAAGTTGCTTTGACTATGCAACTTTTTACTTCTCTTTCGATCTTTTATAAATGACGGAATTAAAGCACTTTCTCAAAACACCCTTCTTACATTTTAAAATCTGTTGTGTTAATTAAATCGTGTCATATAAAATACAAAATAAGATAATATTTATTATAACAAGCACAACGCTGTTCCTTTAACATTTCCCTTTACTTCATATTACAGTTTTAGTTTCGACAAGTTCCAAATAAATTGCGACTTTAACTACTGGAGCAAAATTAAAACACTTACGGAAAGTTCTAAATCATATTAACGACCTTACAGAAATAGAACCCTTCTTTGCTCTACCACAGTAGCAAATTGAAATAAAGTGGAGGGAATTTTCATGTAATGAACCCGCCTAGAGAAAAACATATTTACTGCTATTGTAGGATCGTTAAGATGATTTGTTTACTGCCTTTCAAGGTATCATTTGCTACTAACTTTCACGGTATTAAATAACTCAAATTACTTAAGAGAAGAAATTTAGACGCCACTTTGTAGAACGCGAACGTCTGCCAGTCGAGATAATAAAAAAACAAATTACACGTTTACAAAAATGACAGCGGCAACTCAATCATTTTGTATTTTTGAATAAACTCAACATTATGTTGGCCGTAGGAAGTAAATATGTACACAATGCTCTTAGAAAGATTAAAATAAGCGATGCTTTCTGAAAAATAGCTAGCTAGACAACCTTTTATTTTACTGCAAGTTACTATAGATAGGTATAGAAGAGTATAAAAATGTAAAGTACTTATAAAGCCTGTTATAAATACAATAGTAAGTATACCTTAAGCTGACAATTGACACAGGTCGTTACAGATTCTATAGTTACAATACTTTAATATTATGTTAAGAATATAAATATATAAATATTAGATCATGTATTTTCCTGAGTTTTCACCTGGTATAAAATGAAATTAATAACATGACTATTTTGATGCCATGATTGTATATCGAATAAGTGATACTAGTAAATGGGCGTAGGAAATTTCGACACTAAGCAGGTAGCGACTAAAATTTAATGACAATTTTCGACACCATCCCCAAATCCCGTTTTTATCTTCAGGTATATTCGACACCAAATAAATATAGCTGCGACATAAATAAAATACCATAATTAATTAATTTATTTACTTTAATAAAAGTAATGTGCATTTTATTTCTTTATAACTGTAATAATATCTAAATATAATACAACTAGTACCTAATTTTTGTACATTTTACCGTTAATATACTTGTATACAATGATTTATTTGCTATTATAGGAATGATAAGATACAGCTTTTATAAAATCTAACCTACGTATTTGTTGGGATCGTAGTTTATCCATCATTTTCTCCAAAAATGCCAATTTAGCCTTAACAGTAGTATCTTTGATTTTTGCTGGTATATGTAAACTATTTATTTTGACATAAGGGTCTACTTGAAATTCTTTTAACTTTTCAATAAAAATAAAAATAGAAGGATGTGTTGAATAAAAAGAAGAATTAAATCTCGAATGAAAGGATTCACAGGCATTTGTGGTCCTCGCAATAGACGGATTCTGATTAGACCATATGTGTGGTGGAAATAGAGCGCTATCGAAAATGTAATTTTCCAGTAAATAATCTGCATATATATCAAGTGTTGCGTTTATAGGTTTATATGACATTAAATCATAAAGAAAGCATTCTTCAACTTCTGCTGGATTTAAATAAGTTAAACCAAACGTATGCCTGAACCATTTTCCAATGTCTGAATTTGTATCCTTATATTCTTGTACCAAACCCAAAGATTGAATTTTTTTAAACCAGTTTTGGTGTAAGTGAAAACGACATCCACTAATTTTTGCATTGGGCCACATATACAATAAAGCACAGTGAATTGCTTTTTCAAAGTCCACAAATATTTCAGTTGGCTCTAATGATAATTGAAATGTTTCAAAAATCTTAGACCTTAATAAAGAATAGTACATTGTTTACCGGGTAGAAAAAGCTTAACATTCCTGGACGACTGTGAAGATTGCTAAGTCGAGGCGCAAGCCAAGACTTAGCAACACAGAGTCCAGGAATGTGGCTTTTCCTACGAGGTAAACATACTATTTTTCCGCAAATCGTTTAAAATTCGACAGATATTGATTGATTTAAAAAAACGCGATAATTTTATTCCCAAATAAATGGTGCTTTGAAATTCCTAATAAAATTACTTGGGTTACTATGGAAACGTATTGAGGTTGAATTGTCAAACTTTCTATCATTTATGTAGAACACTAACAACTGTACGGAAATATCATTACCTTACAGTAAGGAAATGACATTTCCTTACAGTAAGGAAGTCCTGACTTTTTCTTCAAGAAATTTTGAAAGGAATGTCAAAATTTCCTGGCGATTTGCGGAAAAATAAATTTTTGTATATGTCATTGACAATTTGTCCTTTAACAAACAATATGCTAAAGGAACATAATGTCCATTTTCCAAGCCATGTATAGTAAATAATTGTAGAAAATATTTGGTACTGTATGAAAATGTACCATCCATATACAAAGTTTTTAATTTACACAAAAAACGAATATTTGTCTCGCATGAAAATACAATTACATTTAATTCAGGATGATTTAAAAACAAAAAACTTTCATTGCGACAAGTTTTAGGAGAATAATTACTAACCGCGTTATGGACTTCTGATATGCTTCTTGGTAACGGACCTGGTAACAGTTTACGACGACAGTTGTAAATGTTCTTTCTTATGCTAGCTATGTCAGGAACCGTCAACAAATTGACATCACACTCAGCAACAGCAGTTCTTGTAATTTTGGCAGGCTTTTCCGATATGTCCTCTTGGGCTTTTTTTTTACATGCATTGGTTACCATCTTTACTTCAAGCATTTTTGGATCGGCTTCATGATTATGTACCAAATCACTTCTTGTGATGGTGAGGTCCTCACAGCCTATTGTAAACACTTTTGCGGAACACTTAGTGTTTCTTTGGATGCAGCGCCAAAATATCTCGCCGCTTTTTAACACTTTCTGTTTTTTTCATTTCATATTATCATTAAAATTTTCAATTCTTTCAAAGAAATTAAGTTTTTTCATATCCAACATTAAAAATACAGATATGTTGTTTTTATAAATAAGTCTTAAAAGAGAATTTTGGAATACATGTTGCATTTAGAATAAATATCAATTATGTAGAACATAGAAGCAAACACCCTGTATTGGATTGTTTAGTTTATTTGTATATTTTTTATTTTACTGTTAGGAAAGTTTTGTTGTAAAAAACCTATCATTTTATGTTTCTTGTAAAACACACTTTGTGCCACATTACATTTATGTAGCTAGTAAGAATTGCAACTACGGAGAATTTATCGATCGTATACCGCCTGCGGAACCATAAAAATTCATGGGCATCATCCCATAACTTCCAAGAACTCATTCAATTTTTTTTCAGTTAAGTCTTCGTTGCGGGCCCAGATGGCGCGAGTCATTTCCTTCGATATCGTTTAGCTTACGTCTTCCGAAACGCTGTTAGACATGGCGATAACACTGAAAGGACATTTTCAGCGACATCTTTGATCATTTTCCGATTGGCAACTCTGAAGGATAATATCCGGTGAACATTTAATAAGGTGGCCAGGACCGGACGTAATAACCCGCCTTGAGTAAACAAACGTCCCGCGTGGAGATTGTCGAGGTTTGTTACAGGCGCGTGTGTCGGGAATCTCTGAAGGGGTTTAAGATAATCTTACCTATACAAGCACTAAGCGATTTACACACTTGTTTAACTAGTTTCATAACATAAGCTGGCGTTATTAAAATGTATATTGCCCCTCATATTTAGAAAGGCCTAGAAGAAGGAGAAAACTAGGGAATATCCATATTGCTCTTCTATCGGCAATGGTAGAAATGATATCCGGAAATGATAATTATAAAAATATAATATAATATATGGGGTTTCTACCATGCGATTTAAACCTTAATAAATAAGGTTTTAAAGTGTTAAATCCATAGGGTACTTTTTGCTGGTTGGAACAGGGGGTAACGGTGATTTAAATCGTATTAAGTGCTGAGAAATTAGAATGGCAGAGTATAGGGAATAATGAGAACGTTTAACCTGGTACAATCTACTTGCAATATGAGAACACTTTAGATTAACAGTTCAAATGTTATTCAAAAACACTTACTTGGTTTCCTGTGATCGTAGCGTAGTTTTTCTTGCTTCGAGAGAGCTCTCTTGGCGTATTAGGTACAGGTGGTTCACAATCTATGTTTCCAGTTAGCAGATAGCTAACTAGCTATCCAGCTAGCTATCCAGATAGCATAAAACTAGAGAAATTTACTTCGAGCGAGTAGGTATGTTTTTTAGAGAATAATTTAGTTTATAGAAAATTTCGTGGTAATCGAGCGACCACGTAAGAGTGTGTGTAATGTGTAAGACTCTCTCTTGGAATGTGTCTGTGAAGTGGAGTGTTCTTCGGTAGAACTTCTACCCGAACTCGTTGACTGATAGTGATAGCTTAGGCCTGTGTGACAGGACCGTAATAAAATAATTTTTAGTTATGGCTTGTACAATAATATTGTACAGCTCTAATCATAAACACAAGCAAAGGAGTTGTTTTACATAGTTATTTAGTAGTAATTCTACGAAATAGTTATCTCTACTTGAAATTTTTCTATCATTTAAGTTTCACACTCTTTCTAAGCTCCCTGGAAGCATTTTCGTTTAACACCTCTGACTGTAATATCGAATTTCTTATTTGTCGTCAGAAACTAATCGATATGCTACACAGAAGAATCGCACACAGGAAGTTTTTAAGTATGCGATCAAAGCTTTTCTGGAAACTCAAATGTAAATGGTTATGTCAACATTCCTTACAGGAGAATGTTTTGGCAACGTCAAAAATTTGATAACAAATCAACTTGTAACGAAGGCTCTTATTTACTTACAAAATTGGATCAGTTATCATTTAGAATATGTCTTGCAACATCTTTGACAAAACAAAATAAGAAACCTGCTTCTTTATTCTCGAGATCGTCTATCGGCCAATGGAAAAGTCGATATTCGCTATAACGGACTAGAAAATTGTAGATCCATTAACCAACAGAACAATGAAGCATACAAGAGACTTCAGCAGCTCATTCAGAGATCAAACTTGGAAGACTATGAAAATCTTAGACGAGAAGAGAAAAGGACGTTTAGAAGGAAGAAGAAAGAGTCATACGAAACGTTTTAAACGAGATTGTTAACCACCACAACAGAAAAGACTTGCGAAAATTCTACCAGAAGATAAACAGCTGCAGAAAAGAATTCAAACCCAGAATAACAGCATGTAAAGACAAAGATGATTCCATAATTAGTGACAAAGAACAGATACTAAACAGGTGGATGAATCATTTTAAAGAACTGCTTAGCGACAGTCGTGGTGAAGAAGACCAAATAGAAATTACCTTGCCTGAAATGGATGAAAAATATCAAAGCCTCTGGTTTGGACAATCTTCCTGCCGAACTTTTTAAAAATGGGGTGACACCCTTTTTATGCATAAATTATTAACCGAAATCTGGCTACGGAAGGAAACGCCCGCAGACTGGTAATTAATCTGACTATTAGTTAATTATCTGGAACTGGAAGGTGTGGACCCCTTCGTCTACCTGGGCTCGCTGCTGGCCAAAGACAACAATGTCTGCGAAGAAATTAGAAATTAGCATGAGTAGTGCTTGCCAATAAGTGCTATTATGACTTTAGGAAACAGATTGTCCCAAAACTACCCATAAAAATTATAATTATCACATATAAAACACTAATAAGGCCAGTGTTACCATATGGGTCAGAAACGTGGTCACTTACACAGAACGATCAAGAACCGCTTAAACTTTTCGAGAGAAAAATTCTAAGGAAAATATATGGAGGAGTCCAAGGACAGAGTTTGTGGCGTAGGCGCTACAACTTTGAGCTATACAGAAGTTTTGTGGAACCTGACGTTGTAAAACCGAAGAGGACCAGTGGGAAGACGAGCCAGAGGAAGACCAAAACTTAGGTATCAAGAAAACATCGAGGATGATCTAAAATCCATCGTAGTTAAAGCATGAAGAAGAGTTGCCAGAGACAGGGGCGAATAGAAGATTGTTCTGAAGAAGGCTTTGGCTCATGACGAGCTGTAATGCCACTGATGATGATGACTAGACAATTTGGTGATTCCACGGAGATAACCAACTTCATGTGATTTGTGCCATGATAGAACACGAATAAGGTGTTCAAAATGCAACCTGTGCTTACATGTCAAATTTCTTACTATAACCGTATATTATATATACGGTTACTTATAGTACGGTTACTTATAATAGTAAGTTATATACCTATTATATATTGTCATATATTGGTTTTAACTATAAAATGTTTTTATGACCTTATATAACGCCTAAATTTGAAGAAAATTTTTATGTAGATCTAGGTTTTAAGAAAAACTGTATCGTATAGGATAGAAAAAATCAATCAAAGATTGGTTACGATTTCTCCCTATACTCAATTTAAAAATGAATGATAGCAGTTTTTACAACCGTCAAAAAAGCATATTTTAAACTAAAATTTTAACTAAAATTTGGTTGTCCCATCAAAAGTCGTGTTCCATGCCAAATATTCTTACAAAATTTCTTTCATTAATCCATGTTTCATCCAGATAAACATATCGATAGATTCGCTTCTGTTTTGGAATTAAATATATCTTCCTCCATTTCTTCTTTGTAATAGGTATATATAGTTTTACTTTGCTCTTTAAGAATGGTTTGCACCGTTTGTGAAGTGACTCAAAATCATCTTTATCATCAGAGTAAACTATCTCTGCAAGATATGTTTGCGGCAAAGGTGATGAATTTTCACAAACTTCATTCTCGTTCTGTGTAGCTCTTTCTTTTCTGACAATGTAGTCAGTAATACTAAATTTTGCGATTATGATGCTAGTAATTGTTTCTGTACTTAAGATATTCTGACACATTCTGCTTGTTGTATTGGGCGGCAGCAATACTATTTGGACGTTTGAATGTTCTAAGTGTGGATGACCTGCTGCATTGTCAATAATTAATAAAACTTTAAAATCGATATATTTTTCCTTCATAAAGGCTTCTACTTCTAGCACGAAGCAATTATTGAGCCATTCTATAAAAATATCTATTGCCACCCAGGCTTGCTTGTTACTTGCCACTCCATTCACTGGCAGTTGTTTGCAATGCACTGTAAGGGCAATATTTGCCCTTAAGGAAGAGCACCTATCAAACTGGCGTGGCAAGTGGAAAGTAGCAAGTAGCAAGTAGCACGCTAGACGCCAATTATTCAGCGCATACTAAAATAACAGTGAGTCATCCATTCTATTCATTCGTTTGCATTGGTTACATTTTAAGTAATATGCTAGACGCATGCTACTTGCTACTTGCCACTTGCCACGCTAGTTTGGTGGGCGTTCTCACTTAGAGCACGTGATCTCAGAGATTTATTTATTAAGAGTGGTTTCAACATCCGATCTCCTGATGCACTGCTACAAAGTAATAATGTTACTCGATATTTACTTGATTTATGTCCACTTTACTTGCAGGTTTTTCATCGTTCGCGATGTAAGTACGGTTAGGCATTTTTTTTACAATACAGTCCCATTTCATCAGCGTTAAATACTTGCTCGGTACGGTATTCCCCTACTTCAATAATTTTCGCTAGCTCATGTGGAATCTTTTTGCTGCTGCCTCATCTGCTGCAGCACTCTTTCCTGTAATCTTGAAATTATGAAGTGCATTTCTTTTTATAAACCCTCTTCGCCATCCTTTGCTAGCTAAAAATTCTTTACCAGCTTGGCAAGTGTAATTTTTTAATGCGAAACTCGCAATGATGTAATAGGGACATCATTGCGAGGGAATGACAAGGGAATCTCCGAATTGCAAACGCTCACTTTACTGACATCTGGATGTAAATAGTTAATATTTAATTATAATAATTAATAATAGAAATTTTTGGATGAAATACAAACCGCACAACTTTAAAATCGCATAAAAACAATCCGCATAAAAACAGACTTTACTGTTACTGTAAACGTACTTTTCTCTGTCACACCAATTATTGGCTTTATTAAAATATCATCTATTTGCTTCTTATGTTTTCTTCCTGCTGTCGTTTTCGGTACTTTTATAAGCCATCTGAAAGTAGTTCCTTGCCTTCGTTGTTTTAAATGTCTATTTTATGGTTACAAGAAGTTGGTTATAAGAAGTATGTTCTAGAAAATATCTTCGTCAGTAGGTACTCAATTTTTACTTATGATTACTGTAATAGGAGAACATGTTACGTCTAAGTGAAACTGAATAAAGTAATAAATTTGTACCTGCAATTTTAGACAAGCCAACATTTTTATTCCAATTAAAGTAAAGTAATATTTACACTCCTGTAAAAACCGTAACAACATCAAATTACTAGGTAGCCTTTTAATAACCGCTCAGTTCTTTAAGAAAAACTCATAAATCTCTATTTAACTTTCTTTCTCCGATGTAACGGCCAAGACGTTTCAAAGTCGACTCTTAACGAACTGTAGATAACCTTTTTTAAGAACAAAAAAGAATCACATGAAACGTCTTCAATAAATATTAACTTAAAACTCATTTCAACTACTTGAACGGTCATTACACGCTGACAGAAAGTATATTAAAAATATCTTAAATCTTATGAGATATTAAATTGCGATGTTGATTCGGGACGTTGGTTTTTCGTTGAAAACTTTCGAATCAAATGAACAACAGTTATCAAAACAAAAATGTCAATAGG